GAGAAAATCAAAGACTATTCGATTTATTCTTTGAAAATCTTTATAAAATCATTTACTAACCACACTATTCGCGCATAAGCATATTTATATATATTCACGTTCGTATGCTATACGTGATAGTGATATGATAAGCTTGCTATTTGCTTGATGGACATCAAAGGGAAATTATTATTGATCAGTGTTCATGCATCAGAGTGATAGCTTTCCTTTGTGCACACTCATGTTTCGTTATAACTTCAAACTTGGTTATCGTCAAGTAATAATTAATCGCAATAAATTTTGCAAAATAATGTTTTTAAATTTTTTTTCATTCAATTACTGCACAGATAAAACCAGAATAGATACTTCACATTTTATGAAAAAAACAAAGTCTTGGAATATAATTTTTATTAATTCTAAACTACTGAAGTAAATTCTTTAAAAATTTTAGTCAGAACATCATTTATTTACTAATTTTAACGATAGACAAAGAGGTTCTCAATCTGCGTCAACTGTTTTGTGCTAGGTAGGAAAGATAATAAGATTCTGCCTACCAAAATGATAAACTTATGATTAATTAAACTGACCTTGAACAATTTATTAAACATTGAACAGCCTCTGAATAACAAAATCTTTGATCACAATCGAATCGACAACAATTCTCTATAGACTCCTGCACGTAGCTTGACGTATCAAGTAAAGAAATCAATTAATAATATAAAACATCAATTATCAATGTTACATAGCTCGTAAGTGAATGGTTTCTCTATGAATTACAATAATCCTGTTAAAATGGCTTAAATTATATTACAATAAACAATCAAGTATCAGCAGGATTTTACAATAAATTTCTCAGATATAAAACAATAACAAGCAATTAATTTGATCAATCAAACATTGATCAAATAACTACTCATTAGCCGCCAACGTCTTCTCCAACCGTTTTGATGTAACTTATTGTAAGACTCACGAATCTTAGAGACGTCTTTTCGGCAAGACGGGTAAACGCCAAGTGAAGCTCCTGGCAAAAATTGAATTATCTGTTGCTTCATAATTAGGAGAAGGGCGAAGAGTTCAATTACGCCCTCATCGATAATTGGAATTTTGATCAACTATACATGATTTAATTGATTGAGAATGGATTTTTCGGTAATTATTGATACGACTTCCCATGAAATAATAATTATGTATTCATTTTTATGTCATGTTTTGTTCTTTTAAATTTTATCGAATTAATTTTTTAGTACACAGAAAAATTACTGCATGAAAAATTACTATGGATTTGTAGTACTAGCGGATGATCTCCAAAGTTTCAGTAAATTTGATAAAATACAATTTAAAAAACCGTTTGACCATCATGAAATTCTGCTTCGGACCACAGTAAATTCTGTTTCGGGTTCGTTATACAAGAGAAAGAAATTGCCCATTGATCTGGGTCTGAAAATACTATCAATCACAGTAAAACGGCCGAACATACTTTTTTTTATGCATTTTTATTTTTCTTAAAAACTTTTGAACGTAGATTAAATATTTATTATTGATTGAAAAAAAAATAATTAATTGAAAAACTTATAATCAAATTCAAGTTCAAACTGACCCGACATTGGACTTTCTACTGTATAGTAGGACTTTTTACTTGGTTTTTAATATTTTCAAGCCTAGGTCTATGGGAAATTTTTCTGTAAAAAGATTTTACTATGGTCTACAGTCTAAAGGATTACAAGTTCAAACTGGTCCGACATTACTACATCTCATAGTGAAATTTCATTTAAAGCTGTAACAGAAAATAATGTAATATTTTTCCGTGTACCAACAAATTAATAAAAAATAATTCCACCGCCATCTTAAGAGAATATTTTCAAAAATGTAACAGCTTTGAGACAAAAACCATTTTATTCATCTTCTAAGTTTATTGTTCCATATATTTGCGATATTTATTTTTTCTTATTTCCTTCACTCTCTAAGCTATGTACAATTTTCTTCAAAAGCGGTTATTTTCTTTTCTCAGTGTACTGCAATGCATATTCATCGTATTTCGTTACTTCTTTCTTTATTTCTTTATCCGAAACTTTGTTCTCTTTCCATTCTTCTCTAACCAGAATTATCCCTCACTTTACTGTTCTTTTAACCTACACCAAAGACAAACACGATGGAGCTTTCACAAGTGGCTACATTCGTATAGGTTTCCCAGTTACACGGATGTTTCTTCTCCGTATTCTTCATCATTGTCTTGCTTCCTTTTTTGTTTAATTTTTGTTATATCCTCTCGACAGCTACTTTGTTCGCGGAAAGTTTTTAACGTCGAATGCACTAGATTCAGCTCTATAGCAGCATCAACTTTTTAACACAATGATGAAATTTATAACATAATTCCTATTGAAAGTATTTTAAATTAGGTTGTAATGACGACTTTGATATCAGAAACTGTTATTTTCGTCATAGAAAATTGAGTATTTTAAAACGTTTATAACATAAAAAACTCATTTTTCCTTGACTGAGAGAAGTTCTTCATGATATTTTTTATGACAAAGTATTCGTGGCTAGTGCATATTGAAAACTTTTTGTCATCAATTCATTCAGCTGGATAAGAACACTAGCATCAATTTGAAACAAATGTATAGAAGAATTTTTCTTCCCATAGAGTAAAAATATGCCTTAACAATGATTCTATTATTACAAAAACCTTTGTAAGAATTTTCTAATATCAGAGTTATAAATATGATCCCTACATTTAAAATAACCTTAGTAGCCAAATTAACGCAAGACTGACGGCAGAATTACGTATGCTGGTCTAAGGTTGTCATTTACGTATGTATCTGCCGTTTTTCTGAAACAGACAGACGTAACATTTTCTTTAGAAAATTTAACGTCAGAAATGAATGACAATCTGATTCAGAAAGGAAGGAGACAGACGCCAGTCTGACGAAAATTCTGACGTCAGGACTGGCTACTAGGGAAGTTTTTAATTAAAACTTGCCACATATATGCAATATTGTCAATGTTGTTCAAAGAATTTAATGCAATATATGACAAAAAAAACTATTGGATTAAAATTTAAACGTTATATAATACATAGAAGGTGCATTTTAATAAAAATATTGTCTTTAGAAACATGATATTATGCAGAGAAAATTGCTTAGAAACCATCAAATGACATTTTCTAGACTCACAAGTTAAAACAAAATTTCTAAAACCAACAATATTGTCGTTGTAAATTAAAAAAATATTGTACCAGAAAACGAAATAACAATACAAAAATTATTTAAGAACTGATGAGAACTAATATTATTTGCCCAGCAGTATTTGTATCAATTCAAAATTATAAATAATAATAACGTATCATTGTTATCAATGAATCACTTGTTGTGAGATATTGTTTTCCGTTCTTAACAAAATTCTATAATTAAAAAAAATTTATTCATTAGTATTCCTGCGTAGAAACATATTAAGGATCGACTGAAAAGTAATTTTTAGAAAACTGGAGAAAGTGTAAAATATGTGAAAGTATCTGTTCGACAGTCGACGATGGTCAAGTTATTTATGTTTGGTTCGCGACTAAACTAGAACTGACCGAATCAATTCATTTGTTATCTCTAAAAGACGTTTCTATTTATTCCTTCGTAATTGGTATTTCGTTATTTTATATTTTATTACTATACTTAAAAAAAACTATCACATGAAAAATTTATTTCAATAATAAGTAATTTTTGTTTTTTTTATTTATAGTAAATTGATTTTCAAATTGTTTTTTCTTAAGCTTTGCCATAATTTTTCCTAGAAAGCTCTTTCCGAAGAAATCAATACCTTTTCTGACAAGAAATAACATCACACAACCGGACTAGGGGTATTTGAATTGACCAGGATAACAATTTCTTCCAGTCATAAAAGATGCTGGTCAAAGTCGGTCCAAGTTTTATTCAACTCTAGACCACCTATGAGTGTGGTTTTTTGTACATTCCAGTCATGTTTTCAAGTATTTCCACATCCAAATTACGTTTAAAGCTAAACGAAAGCACTGAAGTACTAAACTATTATTAACATTAGAGTGAAAGCAAGCATAAAACATTTTAAAAATAATGTAAAGTAATTTTTTACACTATAACAACACTTTAAAATCATCATTCTGAAACTCTAACATAAGAAACCGATGAATCAAATATATCGTAAAACATATTATTCGACAAGATAAACTTTAATCCTTGTGTAAAAAATGAGGAAAAATGTCTGAAAACGTTGAAGGGTAAAATAGAAAATCTAGTGTAACATTTGCAGAGGCATGTTGATGGTCCAGTAAAGCAGAAAATATCGAAGGCTAGTATACGAGTGGACGAAAATGGCTCGTAAAGACTTGGCAATCTGAAAGAATAATGTGGTAGATCCGTCGGAAATCTATCAAGGAATATGACCTTCAAGAAAGACTGTTCACAGTCGTAAAATCCTAGATGACACTGACACATTGAATGTTCGTTAAAAAGATTGATTATATCAACAAAAACATTCTTTGACAACAGATTCTTATCAAATAATAATCCAAGTCAGTCTATCCTCCATACGAATTTAATCATATTAATAAAAATCAATATTCTCAACAAACATAAGATGATTGATCAAAATAAATTCTGATATATCTGAAGCATAATTTTTTCCAATGGTAAAGTCAGGAAAATGAACAAGATAGCTAAGTCAAGCATCAAGTCTTGCTGGTTTAGCCAACTGAAATGATTTCCCTGCAGTCCCGGACCACCTCCGGCAAGCGTTGAAATATGAAACTGCGGCAATATGCAGTAAAGAGCCATGAGTATAACCACTCTTGTTTGCAGCAGACGTGGTAACGCCTGGTGTGCTAATAATCCTTGATTTAAACACGATATCAAGATTTCAATGGATACCTACCCCATTTTACTGTATGATTTTTATTATTGTATTTTATTATCATTTGAAATTATAATTAAATTAATAATATCGTTATATTTGCTAATATAATTGAGAAATCTAACAGATGTTTTTGATGTTTGTTCCAGAAATGAAACATCAACGGCCGAAACGCACAATCAAGACAGCAAAGACAGCGATGCTTCAATCATTATAGGGGTAAGTTTTTCATGTGAAAGTTATGCGATTGATTTTTAAATATACAAATTTAATTTTGACATCTTAGAGACCTTAATCTTGTTAGAGTGTGGTAGATAGTGAATTCTTGAAAACTTTGCAGTTACTAGAAAATTGGATAAAAGCTTTGGTGGTAATATAGTTATACTGTCGTTAAAATAAACCACACAAGTGTACATAGAGAGTGCACTGTTATACACTAATTTAATAGCTGAAAATTATTAGAGTTTATGTTGTTGAAAAAACAATTACAAATGATTACAGTTATTTACTTAGGACTCATATTTTTAATCAGTTCTTCAATGAGCACTTTTTTAAAACTTTTTTTCGGGAATGTTAAATGACACTATAAAACGTTTACTGAATAGCAAAAATAGAAGAAATTCTTTGTCATGTGAAGTTAAATACTTGCTATGTAAGCTGAGAAACATCAAAGGCTTCAAGTAAAGTTAAGTGACCTGTTAAATATGAGATGTAATACCTTTGAAACAGTTTCTTGAATTACTTACTTTTGAAACTGGTGAAATTTTATAACAGACTTTGAACCAAAATTACTGAAAGATGTAAGGTCGAGGTTTTCTAATTATGCAATCTAGACTAAGAATAATTATTTTTTTTAATTCTGTAGGTAGAAAAAGTAATAATTTTTTCATTAAAAATGAAAAAAAAAATTGAAGCCTTTATAGAATTGAATTAATTTTATTCTATCATAAATTACTAGTTGATACTTGTGATTTTATTCATGGTAAACACTTCAACAAAATATTTAAAACCTTTTAATGAAATTAAAAGAAACTACCTACACACGGTTTTCTCATATAAATATTAGAGAAGTTGTATTTTCTTTTAGTTACAAGTCACTAGTCCATCACATGAGAAAACTATCTGTCGAATTTTCCGTTTGTAGTTTCTACAGTTTCAGAAACTTTGTGAGAAGTGAGTAAATTAGTCAGTAGTATCTCGCATTTATGCAGATTTATGTAAATAATTAATTTACTACAGACCTATTGATAGGATAATATTTTGATTAAATTACATTAAAGATCAATGGAAATATTTTTTTCCTTTCTTTAAACACATTTCTTTCAACAAATGGTTCAATGTAACACTCACTTTGAATCTATATTAAGGTCAAATAAAAATACAAAAAAAATACGTTTCACACCCTAGCAGCAAGTAAGACTTGCTTATTCCTGACCCTTCTAAACGTTGGACCTTTGTTGGCAAGATCGATTCAGTCTTGAACCAAAACTAGGCCAGTCTTGTTTCCTACTAGGGTAATGAAAAAAATTTACCATTTCTTGACTGATCTTAACTTTTTCATAAACTTCCCAGTGGGAGGTTATTGTAATGGATCTGAATCAAAAATTCTGACATATTTCCACGTTTCAAGGTCCCTAGAGTCGAATGCAACAGTTTTTAAGAAGATAACTGTATGTATGTACGCTCGGGATTATTTTTCGTCTAGATTATCTAAAGAACAAAAAATGACATCGACGTAAGACTAATTGCATTCGACGCATAATTATGCAACGTAAAACTTTTACCAAAATCGGTCTAGCCATTTTTTGTGCAGAATCGAAAAACTAAAAAAAAGGGAAAATGAATTTGGCAATTCATAAATGATGCTATTTATTTTTATATTAAATGAAATATATGATATTTATATGCATTCTACTGGTTAGTTGGTGGTGCGAACCTTACGAGTCGAACCTAAGCTAATATTTTTTATTATTATGCCAACAGAGTAATGTTTTTGTAACTTGACTGTAAAAATTGAATTGGATTAATTAATCCAGACGTGATAAAAATCTTCTACATTTGTTGATGATACATAGTTTTAGTTGAAAATACTTGAAAACATTGAATAGAAACAATCTTAAAGTATAACTGTCTTTAAAATGTTTTTGAAAACAAATTTATAAAAAATTTGTGATGAATATTTTTATTTCATATGCAACTCAAAGAAATCTTGAAATTTTAAAATTTTTCATGAAAAGTAATTTTCTGTAAGTCATATCTTTTCCAAGTCTGTTCTCTCCATCATATTTCGTTATCAATAAGCTTCCATTTTTACATTACTCCTCCTTTTTCCATCGAGTTTAGTGACAGTTGTCAAACGAAAAAATGAGCAGAAAAAAGTAATGCAGAACAATGGATAAAATATCTTGAAGATGTCTTTCATGTATACCCAAAGAGCTGTAAATTATATTGAGAAAGAAAGACGTCGTTGGGATCATGAATAATTGATATATCATCTGTATTGTTCTAAAAATAAAAGAAACCTAATAGAATTGAAGGTATAAAAGTAAACAACCATGTATATGGATAAAGCACCCTGCATAAAAAAAACAACATAAAATTTATGGATTGTGGATAATCAAATTACAGAAAAAATATAATTTTAAAGTCAAATTGAAATTCATTTTATTTAAATATATTTCTATAAAAACTACTGCATCTGGAGAAATAGTAGAAAATAGTGATAATAGAAATTCAAGCTTCAAACGTCCAAGTTTTCAAAGTGAGCAAAAGATTTTTAGCCATTTGGTGAATTGAAATGCGTGAGTAAAAACCCCAAGATTTGGAAGTCTTTTTATCTCAAACTAGAATTTATTCCACTTATATTCCTTATCGACTTTAGTAAATTCGAAATAGATTTCAAATTTTTTTTTCATCCAACTTTTCACGCTTTTCCTTGCACCAAAGACTTTCTCCTGCTTTCTTCAACAAAACTTCCTTTTCCCAATATTCCAAGTCATTTTTCAGGAAAATCGATCTCCCGCGAGTCTCCGCGGCATGACCCCATCTTTTCGGAAACGATTGGTGCTCGTTTGAAAAGCGAAAGGTTCACCATGGTATAAAATTGAGAAGAAAAAGATGAATAAGAAGAAAAAGACTAAGTCTCATTCCGTTGCTAGAGGCGTCAGTGCGCCTTTGACATGTGACCATTCTCCATCTCGATCAAGAGGAAATGTTAGATCAAAAAATCTTGAAAAACGATCCAAACTTACCTCCATTTCTCATGGCATTCATAGCCTGCAGTTTTCTCAGTTGCTGATTTTCTATGCTTTTATTATGTGCAGGTAAACGTTGGAAATTTCTTTGAAAATCAATCGCAAGCATCAATTCAGTTTTAAAATGTTATTTACTGAAAAATCATTCACATTATTTGTGTTAAGTAAAACATTGGAGAGCAAATTAATTAAGAGTGATCCTCATGGAGTTATAAAAATTCTAAATGATTATATCTTTTGGATTAACAAAAGGATTCTAAGTAATCCTAAGTGTTCTTCTGTCTCTTATCTTTTGTTATATACCAGTCCAGTTGACCTAATGAGATTTCATCTCAAGAGAGGTTAATCCTGATTCATGGCGTTAGGATGCTCGAGGCACATGAATTAAGCTTTCTTCGTATAATTTGCAGTTTTAAAATCTCCTTCTGAACAGAATAATTAAAAATATTTTGGTAAGTTAACAAGTGGAAACCATTTTAATTCCTTCATCATCTCCGCTATTAAAAGGAAATCTCTTTAAAATTAATTATCTAAAGTTAATTATTGTAAGAACGTTATAAAAAATGTTTCGAAGTATTGTGATATTCATCGAATTAACTTAGATGTTTTCCTTTGTTTGTTGTTGGTTAACGGTGAAATAGTGTAGTCGGTTAGAACCCATCAAAAAATTGAAGCAAAGCCTGGAGGAAAAGTGTAAGTGGTATGAGGTGGATAGAGGTTCATAAGGTATAGCAATCCTCTTGCCTTGGCTTTTTCTATATCCGCTCGGTCTTTGGGCTTTTTTCTTTTGCTCTCTCAAGTGCATGCACACGTTAGGTCACGTGTACGTACAAACACTCACTGAGTACCCGCGAGATGTTTGTCTCTTCTCGTTTCCTCTAGCATTAACTTGTCATTTTTCTCTCCAATTTTTCTTGGTGTGTCCTGAAGTGTTTGGTAAAATATTTGAAAAGCAAAGAGAGTGACGTTGTGTGGTTTAAGCAGACCACAATGTCTTGAGAATTCTACCAGCAGAAAAATAATAAAGATGAATAAAATACAAGTAAATAAAACCAGTGTTGTATTTTGAGATAAATTTGTGGCGTACGTTGACACTATTTTTCATTTTTCTGAGGAAACTTTTCTTTCGACGAATTACCCGTCTCCTGGTATGCCACAGTGTGCATCATGGAAGTGAGATATTTCGTCGAGAACTATACCTTTTGAAAAAATAAAAAAGACATTGCCTGTCGGGATGCAGCGAAGAGGTGAGTAGATGGAGCCGAGTATCTCACGAATAGAATCGCCGTAAAAACGTACGTGCAATGAAATATGGGATTGGATCACTGGCGCGTGTGTATCCTTTATGCTACTCTGACGAATGTATCATTCTGCTTTCGGTCGATATCCCACGTCAACCGAGTAAAGTGCTCGGAAACTAAAATAACGATGCTGGACACAACCCTCAGTTATCGCAATATCACTATTTATATTTATCTAATTTTCCTAACATCTACGATATTTTGTTCCGCTCAAAATTTTCTGATAAAAGCATTTTAAATTTTATTATCATTCTTTTTTTATTAGTATCAGTTATATACTTTTAGAAGAAGAGACCGAGTGGTTTTTTTATTTTTATTATATACATACATTCCTCTTTGCCAAATATTTTATTAAGCCTATCAAAATGGAGTTCAATATTTCATCAGAGTTAACACACCGTGGTATAAATTTGCTCGGAAACAAGCTTGCTTCAAAGTTTTATCTCTCGTTTCAGATTTCGTTATGACGTTGTGAGTACAAGTATGGATCATTTTCATGAACATCAAGCTACTTTTGACATTAAAAGATACCGTTTTGTGAAGTGGAGGTTTTATTAAATTCAAGTGAATAGAAAATAATAAAATAAAATTTGAATAATTTTTTGTTGAACTCATTCTTTGACACTTTTTTGTATGCTCTAGGGGATGAAATTACATACACACAATACATGGATTTTTTTTTAGTCGTGTTTGATTTTTTTTCTTGGAATTTAATAAATTTTTTTTTCGAGGGTATTCTTATTATGTAGAAGCACCTAAAATCTACGTTATCCTTCATATCTTTGTGAAAGTAAATAAAAAATTCCGTTCTCTTGTACGATTTAATTTTGAGTGTAAAAGAATGTTATCCTTTGAATTTTCAATTTCCAATTTAGGAAAAAAGCTGGGGAAAAATGTCACGACAATACTTGCACGAGTACGACCTCGTTCGAGCTTTTCCCGCGGGGCTTGATTCATGAAACTTTTACAACTGTAATATCAGTTGCGTCGACAGTCTGCACGTCAATGTCCTCGAAACTGCGGCAGCGTTGATTAAAAATGCTTTGTGACGCGGTAAAATCGGAACAAAAAATCGAAGTAATGGTACATGACAGCCAGTCGATGACATGATTGCTCGAAAATAAAAATTAAACGTGAATTCGAAATAAAAACTTTGCTTACAAATTTGCCAGAAAAATAATATTTCAAAATATGCAATTCGAGATAGCATCACTAACTCGAGAAAAATGTTGGAACAGCGAAACACAACAGTCCCAGAAAAAAATAAATACTGATTGAAAACATATTTTCAGTTATTTTTCTAAACAATTTATTTTAAGTCATTTAGCTGATGTTGACTCAACATGTGAAAAAATTGGAGAAGAATTTTTCTTAAAATACTCTTTATGCGGTTTGCATGTAGCATATTGTGTGTTATTTAATAAAACAAAAATTGTTAGTTTTTTTGTAATGACATCCGTGGCCTAGTGTGATTCTGTTAATAAGTAATAGTAGATTTGTATGTTATAATAAATAAATAGGGGAAAGGATAGTAACGTGGAACACGGGGGCAAACCCTCGAGAAAATGTTTTAATTTATTAAACTAAGTTTAAAAATGCCTATTGCACTTGTTGTTTATCAATTTTTTAATTTATTAATGCATTAAAAATTATTATCATTTGTTAATAAAATAAGAAATTTGTTGATTCACGTTTTTTCTTGGTGTTCCACTTTACCCCACCTTCCCCTAAACTGTTTCAAACAGTTTTTTATTATTCCTGTCAAACCAGTAAACATTCACTGATTCTGAATTCTTTGTTAGGATTTTCCTTGTTTGTTCTTAAGTATAGCAACCGCTATTTACGTATGGTTCATCTCTATTTCAGTAAAAATGACTAGTAGAATCAGTCAATGATCTATGCAAATGAATACTAGTAGCTGTTCTATTTCAATTAGCTTTCCACTGATAATTTCTATACACCATTAATAACTCGTGTAAAATTATTCAGTAATTTATCTTATTTAAAGTTTATTAATACATTAGAGAATAATATTTCGATTAAAATTCGTAGCAATTACTCACTGATTGGCAGTAACATACTGGTTCCTCTTTAATCGATGAATGTTCAATAATTATCAACAACTATTCATTATCTTTCAGTGCATTACTTATCATTCATTTAATGGATGACTTTAAATTGATAACCAGTGAAAAACTGCTAATTTACAGTATTTTTGTACTTGTCTGTTCATTTTAATCGAATATAATTAACATTAAAAAGATTCTAATAACTTCTCAGTAAATAGAAATGAAGTTTTTCATAAACCAATACAGTAAACTGTAAAAATAAACAAGAATGCAACAGAATAAAAACGATTGAAAGAGAATAAAGAGATTAATAAAAGCGAATACGGGTGAACGACTTGGTAAAGAGGGATGTTTAATAGTTAATTTTTCGTACTTGATTGAATAAAATAGCTAATTGTAGCTGTGTTATTAAAGTATGAGAAAATCATCTTTAATTTGATAAATGAAACCTAACTCTTCATTAATTATTATATATCAGTAAATCAAAAAAAAACCATTAAATTATTGAAAAATTACCTTACTTATTTTTGATCTAACAAATAAAAATAATTAAACATTGTTTAATTTATTATGACTTATTTTGTTCAATTAGAAATCTTTATTAAAATAAAATTACTATCATTTTTTCTTCAATTATTTTAAATATCACTTTCTATTGTTATTTACTATCCAACATTATCAGATTTATTAACAAAATAATTACGGTATATTATCCCAGTTGATGACAGTGGGTGTTGTATGGTATTTTAACCGGAAATTGAAAGTGAGAAAGATTGCAGTGAAGTCTGTAGATTGACGTATAATCAAGTTGAAATAGAAGCATATATTCATTTCCTGAGTTGCAGGATATATAAAAAAAAATGTAAAAAGGAAGAAAGTTCGACAGAGCTTTGGAAAGAAACGAGAGAATCATCTAGGAAATTGGGTTCTAATATAAATCAAGATCGGCATCCTTTCCTTTTAGGTAGTTCTTATCATATCCTATGCTTTTCACCCTTTCGCCATCTTCCAGCTTCTACCCTTTTACTCATTCCATTCGTCCGACTCCTCCCATGCGTGCTGGAGGTTTTTTTCGACCCTTCCATTTATTCTCTCACTCCTCATTCCAACTAAATCACCACGTTTATTTTAACCTTCAAGCTTTATTTCATCATTTCTATTATAAGTTATCTTTGGTGTTTAATAGATGATGCTTCCTAAACTCATTACATAGAAAAATGATCAAGAAAGAAGATTTCATATTTTGTTTAGAAAGAAAAATAAAAGCAATGAGCAATATTTTCATTGGCCAATATAAAAGATAAATTGATAACACATTTTGGCACTCTTTGTTTGCAAGCAAAGCATACTTTGTAATCATTCAACATACTCATAATAACATTGTCAACATAACTACTTTTCCTGTTTATGGTTCCCTTGGAATCCATTTGTTCAAGTTTGTTTTGAATTTTTACATCAAAATTGAAGTTTACCATGAACTATTGTCAACTGGTTCAGGCATTTTCTGCTAAAATCAGAACTTTCGATAAGTGTACTTTTTTTTTTACATATATGTATTGATAATGTTTCTTCAGAGAGTTCATTGTATAACACTTTAATAATTAAGTGTGCTCAAATTTTGTCAAGTGTTTGTAATTTGTTTACTTTCTGATGTAAATACCCGTCTATCAACAGACATTGCACTTGGGATGACAGTTTGATGTTGATTGTGTATCTTTCAACTTCTTACTTGTCAATGCGAATGTCCAACTTATAATCAATTAACGATGATGCTTGAGGATGTGTTGAAACGTTACGCAGTTCAGCTGACATTCTAATCCAAATTAATGAGACTGCTTCTATCGGAGCATGAATGTCCATACGACGTCTGAAATTCTCTGGTCCACCTGTGCTCATACAAATGGGATAACAAGCAGTAGCCTGGGCAAACAGAGCTGATTGCGTGTACCTAACCTCGTCGGAGGGAATAGCCAACCAGTGCCAATCAGTTCAAATGGAAGCTGCGGTAGTGTATAAACGAGAATTGACTTGAAATCAGGAAGCATATATCTTGCCTTAGAAAATGAGGGAATGATCACAAAAGAAACAGCTCTACGAATCCGTTGATTAAGTCAATAGCTACCTCAATCTTCTACCTAGTCTCTTTAGAATAGTCAAAGCTTTCGCCAATATTTCAAGTGTTCCCAGTTGTTTTTAAATGATGTCATAAATAACTAGTTTTTACCTTTTTTTTATTATTACCAAGATAACTTGAAAGCTTTTAGAACAAGTCAGACTCGACAGTTTTGCTCGTTGACATCAACTTTGTCATGCTAATTTATTACACATGGCGAGAGTTTAATTAGTAGCTCCAGGATACTCTGACATATTTAAGGGCTACGTGGTGTAGATGATGATGCTCTTGCCCATCGTGAGAAACTCGTCCAGCACTCAGGCTTTATAGAGATGAGATAACAAGGTGCGAGTTTCTAAAACATTATTCATTAGTGAATCAAGGTCTGCTTATTCAGAATTTTCATGCAGATTACTTAACGATAGCATATTCTGATATAGCTTGTGAACTCTGGGTTATATGACTTAGAGTACACTGGTGAATATTTTCAGAATTTTTTGTTCAAATTCATTGAAGTTTATTGTCAAAATAATTAATCTAGATTGTAATTAACTTGTTGAAATAATAATCTTGACATTTCTTTATTTAGGGTTAATGAATTGTACAGTTATATAATTAAACATTTTAATCTTCTACCAACAAATTTTCTTCCAATAAAAATTTTTCATCTTCTAACTCACAATACTCAGGAGGTTAAAAAATTTCTCCATTACTCAGAAAAACTTCCATCAATATTAATTTCAACTTTTTTGTTCCAGGTCAAAAGTGATCCCATGATAGCAACAATAACTTCATTCTCTTTGAAGTAAGTATGAAATTTTTTCAAATTTTTCCTCATTTCTTTCACCAAATATACCTAAAGGCTTTTGATAGTCAGTAATTACAGTTGTGTATAGTGTATCTAAAGTTCCAACTTTGATAAGCATTATATCATCATTGTTCCGCAACAAAGTTATTAATATACAAGCATTTGCAAACATTTGATAGCAAATGTGTTAGGTTCAGTTAACAATTTAGTTGATATGTTTGTTTTCAACTTTATTTCACTGTTACAATCAAGTTGACTCGGTTGGCTTTTGTGATAATCCAAAGGGTAGACTATAGCAAAGCACGATAGCTCTTTAACAACCTTCACTGCCTTTGTTCTCATGTCCAAGTTAGTTGTTGACCGCAATTTCATATTCAACTCTTGGTATAGGTAATACTGTTCTGGAAATCCGTCACGTGTTGTGGACAAAGTGTTGGGAACGTAATAAATAACATCAAGGTTAGAGAGATTTTGAATGATCGTATTCATATCTAGACTTCATTGATCAAATATAATTCAATGGATGAAAAAAGTAACTTATGCTTTAAAATTATTTAATGAATATAATTTAGAGTTGAGAAGAGTCATAAAAAAATTTTCATTTATTTTTAGCTGGAGGATAATTGTTTGATTATTATTCCTGTTACAAATGAGGCTTTTCATCAGAATTTATTTCAACAGAATATCGATTCAGGCAATTGAAATAAAATACTTTCCATTTTCTGATGACACTTGAGCGATTTTGTAATCATTTGTTCATGAATTATTATCGTTCAAAGTCATTTACGTGCACCTGAGCACTTGGTTATTATGGGATATATTGATAATTGCACGCGATTCTGGAAACAATGATGAAATATTAGAAGATAATTGATTTGATCCTATGAACGAAAATTGGTATACATGAATCAAGTTAGTTCTCTATTATTTTCATCTCACTATCCAGTTCTAAATTGAGAATTCTTGAAGAAATTTACTTGGACTTTTTTTCGCAATTATTTTTAACAGTAAATTTATAGTCAACTAGATGATTGTTGAAATTGTGAATTCTATAAATTGATATTTAATTAATATTTTTGATCTTGTTTGTTCGTACAAGTCTATTCCCAATTCAAGCTTCTCGATGTTATGTTAACCTCTACACTTTTCTTGGATGACAGTATTCACCTTTTTCTACCAGTAATTTGACATAAGATTATATGAAATGCATAGTACATCAAGATTGAGATCTTTGTAGATGATCAAAGATCCAAGTGGACCTAAAAAAAACTTAACAGTGTATTCCGTATTGAATAAAAAAGTTAAAATAAAGAGACTGTTGAGACTTATCCTACATTGACAATATACTTGAAATGATTAATAATATATTTTCCGAAAATTGATAGACTTACATAGATTTATTGGGAATAATTTTAAATTCTATAAAGATGGCATCAGACTCTATGAGATCTAAATTGAATCAAAATATATTTAATTATTTTTTTCTGTTTTATAAATTAAATAAGAGAATGTGAAGTTTAGAAAGTAGCTTTCGAGATTTTTTTAAAACTCCAGCATATGTACTGATTATGGAAAAAAGCAAATTGAATAAAGTAACAAAAGTTAGTAAACATTTAAGAGAAAAGTAGTTTGTGGTTGAACTTGGTTCCATGAATCACTTGACACAGTGTAGTTTACATTAAAGAGCCAGTTTTGGAAATTTACGAGACCGACTTTACGTGCTCTTCTCGGTTTAGTTTGGTACTTTTACCCTTTAAAACCGCGTGTGAGTTAGATGCCAGAAGGTCGGCGAATAACGTCTTCTTAATGAAGAACGAGCTTGCGCAATTGTAGATTTAACGCATGTGGCTCTCTCGAGAACATGACGAATGGTAAATCTCTAAGTTGGGCTTTGCTCCAGCGACGACACTTACACTTTGATTATGACTTTTTACTTAACTTTAATGGCAAATTAATTTGAAATAATTTCCTTTTTTAAAAAAGTTTCGATGTTTCTCCCAAATTGCTTTTGGCAAGAATCTCAAGACAAAAAATCGGAGTTAAGCGTTAGGTGAAGTGAAGCTGTATTCTAATAACGTATGTTACGTGCCAAGTTTTTCGTTCACTATGTTGTACACGCACGGGTGTAAACTTACGTTTGTTAGTAAAAGAGAGTGAAGAAGAACGTTAGTAGAGACGGCGACCTTTACTATAGTGGCTTTAAAAATGTGTCACGACGTTTTCGACGTGCATGGTATATAAAATAACGACAAAGACAAATTTTCTTCAAGCTGAGACGTGACACATCGCCATATATAAAATGACGAACTTTGGGAGTTGAAGGATGCTTGTAAATTCTCAAAGGATGAGACATTGTCAATAAGCATTTTACTTGCAAATTCTATCAAACTATTTTTTCGTCAATACTATTTTTTGTCCACTTAATTTTTTTATGAACCCAGTTTTTTTAGTTTTTTTTTATAAAAAAGAAAATCTTTTCACTTTGTGTAAACATCGTAACATAAACCACTCAATTTTGACATATTTTTTAGTATATCTTGTTTGTAAAATATTGTTTTTTTCTGGATGAATATTTTGGCTTTCAAAACAATGTAATGCATGAAGAACAATGAAATTTATTCTCATTATTTCTCTATGGATAACAAAATACTTTTTTAATTACGTTAAACATTTTATGTAAAGATTTTTTTTTATGTTGATTAATAGCCTTGTTTAAAAAGCAACAAAAATTCGCATGCTAGAGATTCCAATGAAATAGTTATGATTATGTTTAGAAAAAATTCCATTTTTTTTTACTTTTAGAAATTCTGTTAGAGAACTATTTTCAGAGAATCTATGCTTCAGCAATTTTTACAAAAAGATTATGAAATATAAATATGAGTGACACAAATAAATATAAATTTGTTTACAGATGCTTTGATAACAGATTCGAGAAATATTGTCTCTTCAAAAACAATAGCAGAACTTTTTTTTTTAGTTAAATTAATGTTTTTTAATTTCTCTAGTATTATTAACTTTTTATATTAATATTAATTAATGAGATGTTGTTGAAATTTCAAAATTTCATTCAATAAGAAATTATTAATTCAATAACTGTGTCTCGTTCTATCTTTATTTATTTCCGATAAAAAACTTATAATAAAAAAATTTCTTTAGCAATTCTCAACGCGGAATAAAACTTTTTCTTTCCTCAATAAATTTTTTACAAGACCAAGATAAAATTTCAAATAGAAGAAAAATTGAAAAGTATTCCTTAATTAGCTTCCTACAAAACTTTCCACAAAATTAAAGAACTGTTTTAAATCTCACTAGTTTGAATTCTGATTGCAAAAAAGACTATTGTTAAAGAGGTGTCATTGTTTCGAATGTAGACACCAAAGACTACAAACTTCACTCGAGTAAATACTCAAATCAACTTTTAAACAAAAATAATTGAATAAAAAATAGTGGAAACAACAAAAGTAATACTTTTCTATCAGCTGCAATTAATAGCAACTCTGAAAATGTTATTTGCTCCGAACTTTGATCCTCTATCTGTGTAGATAACACGTTCCATTCTGAATAGTTGATGTCTATTGGCAATACTTTGTATGTCTGACTAGAAACGTATTTATCTACTGAAATACTCTTGTTCTCGAGCTCAACATTGGAAGGATTCGTTAGCCGGTTCGGGAGTTAAGCTCATCAAGAGAGATCTGTATAGAAGGATCAAGAGAGAGAAAGAGAGAGTCAGATGGTGGAGAACGTGATCCTCTAGAGGAGCAAAAGAGGGGAAACGCAATGATTGATTTAGACAGGAAAATTCTGGCAACGGGCCAAACCCTTGCTCGCTGTTAGTGCGCTCGTGGCACTTGGATCCTCCTTTCTCGCTTGAGCACAACGAAATGGAGTATAGGATGAAAAAAGATGAGCACCAAAGGGTGAGAGGGAGCAGCAAGAAGCAATATTTCATTGCTGCACCAGCCAGGCATAACTTGAAACCGAAACTCCCTAGTCCTTCTCATTTTATTTTCTGTCAGCCTTTAAATTTATCCTCATTATTTAATGTTTCCACTTTAATTTGCTACACATAAAGTGTTGACTTCATCTTCTCTACCTCTAAACATATCTTGATGACATTACATAATCTTCAGGGAACCGAAAGCAATAATCCAAGACTAAATGATGTGTATTAAAGTAAATTCAAATCATGTACACAATGTCAAATAATAGTTTGAGTGTGTGTAAGGGGTGCTAAACCCTGCGGAGTAATGCATGAGATAGTTTGCCAGCAAGGTAAATTGAATCCTGTTACAGTGGAACGCATGTGATTACAGACGACGCAGGGACACGATGTTGCGCGTTTTGGGAGTTCGACTATTGTCGAGGCTTCTCGTCCTCGTCTGTTCACTCTCTCTGCTGTCACTCCTTTTCCTCAATAGATGTGGCTTCAACAGTTTCGACACTGACCTCATTGATACTTCAGGTAAGTCAATTTGTTTCTCTACATGCTGTCATTACTAATCGTGCATCATTACTTTTTCAATATAACTTTTCTAACATAAGACAACAATTAAAATACTCTTTATTTTCGATGATTAAATAACAGAAATAATTATCAACTATTGAATTTTTCTTTGTGCAAATATTTAAATCTAGCTAGAAAAGAGGCTCCACTTCAGTTCAAGTGCTGAAGTATTTAATATTTAGATCGATTTGTACTGTCCATCGACAGTGAATTTAGTGTGAGAAAAAGTATATTGAATACAAACTGAAGAGAAAACTTCTTTTGTTTGTTTTTTTTTTTAACTGGAAATTGAAATTTTTGATTTGAATAAATAATAGAAATCGTGACTTGTATTAAATTGATAATAAAATTTAGAATCAAAAGACTAGAGTAAAGTAATTAGATAGAAGTAAAAAATCACTCTCATTATATTTTCAAAGAACCGACTAGAGCAGAACTATCAACATTTGGTCCAAAACGTGACCGCAATACAGAAGATAAATGGCTGCATCTGAAATTAATTAGTATTTGAAGGCCGTTTATTCATGACCCCTGAGATATTGGTGTCCAAAGTAAACTATAAAATATTCTTTTGAGTCATTTAATTCTTCAATTAATTATGAAATACATGATGATGATCTTTCACTTAGTACTTTTAAGAATAAGATGTATTTAATGTTGTGGATCAATTAGAGTTTCTTAAAACAAATACAGATAAAATAATCAATAGAAAAAATATTTAATTAAGTAAAATGAGAAATTTAATTATTACAAATAATGAAGAAAAAAGAGATCAACGAGTTTGTACTGAAAACAGCAATAATTGCACTCAATAATCTCTGCAGCTACTAGAGGATAATCATTTGGTACGCTAGGGTTGCAGAGGATAAGGGTTGATTTTTTGCACAAAGGTCGAGAGCTATTCTAAGAGATGGAATAGGGTCGACAAGATTTTTCGATTTATCTTTGAAGTCTTTAGATGAGCATCCACGTGAATAAAGTACCTTCCTTTTCACCATAAATAATCGTAACTGCAGATTTTATCCTTTACTCGAAAAGTAGTCTTCATTGAAATGATTTTAAAGGTAAAAAGATGTTTGCTTATTGTGTTTTCATTTTGTAATTCATTCATATTAATGTATTAATATAAATATTATTTATACGACTAGGACTCTCCTTTAATTAATAATATTAATTTGTTCATAACAGATTAGATCTAACTGTTGAAATGTATGGTTAATTTTGCAAATTATAATGAACTGGCTTAGATAATACTAGCTTGTAGAGGGCGCGTACTACACGAGTTATTCAGACATCATATAATTTATCTTTTGAACATGCCAAAACAAAGCTAAAAGTAATTATGCTTCTTGTGTAGTGTTGATTTTCTAAATAATTAAAAAAATTTCATGAAAATGCAATTTGCTGTGTATAAAAGGTCACAGTTTTAAGTAATAATTACAATATCTCGAAAATTAAACGATATCAAAAAATTTTATTTTTTATTTTCAGTTTTTTTGGGGGGTTTTATCGAAATTTATCATTGAATCGTGGTGCCATGGAAAGCCTGGATGAACTTTTGTAGAAATCCATCTTGGACTAGAAAGGTGTCTTGTCTTGGCTTTTCTTACATATTTCATGTTTCTTAGATAAAATATATATATAAATAAACTTTCGACTAATTATTTGATAATTTATAAAATGTAATAATTTTTAAAACTAAATTAAACCGAAATTTAATTTAGAATTTATTTTAAAAAATGTGACTACTTTATTTTCACACAATTACAAAAATTCACAAAGTCTTGAGAAAATAAATTCATTTAGAATCCAATTTCCGTGCAAAAAAAAAAAAATAGAGAAAGTAATTAAATGCGTGAATAAATTCTCTCAATGCTTCCCTAATGACTGATACCGAGTAATTAAAGAGAATAATAAACTATTCGACGTCATAATGAAACTGAAGAAAAAAAAAAAACTTTCATCGACTTCTTTTTTTTAATTCACCACAACGAAAATATAGAGAAATCTGTTGCACATAAAGAGGTAATCTTTTTTTCTCAAATATGGTTGAAAAAGTTAAAAATAAATTATTTCCTGCGATAATGTAATTTTATTCGAGAATATGGATAACCGCATGAAGTTATAATTGTAAAGTTTTCAGACACTCCCATCGTTTTAAAATAACAAATAGTATATACCCAAGTACTTTTTAACATTTGAATATTCATTAGATCCCACGTGTAACGAAATTTTGCCCAACTTGAATTACATCAAACTACTCTTCTCAAACTTTTTAATCGTATTAAAAACGACTATCATTTTCTTCGAACTATTGACAATTTACCATGGATTGAATACAGATTAGAATTAAGATATCACCGTAAGAAATCGTAAATGAATTTTTTCTAGTAGGAAGCAAAGCTAATCTATCTCTATATCGCTGATTGTTGTAAAAAAAAAATAAGAACAAGACTTACTGAACAATCAAATTTTTTTTTAATTTATTCGTTTTTATTGGAAATGAGGATATGGAAACGATGTATTTATTAATAATTATTTTCTTTTATAAATTTATTGATATAAAATTATACAAGAAAAAAACAGCTGTATCGCAAGAACTCTTACGCTCAACTAACATAAAACTAAACCACGATCAAATCATTCCCTTACTATTTTACATCTAATAACAATTCTTGCATTTAATTTAAAACTCTGCGTCACAACCGAAGTCAAAATAAAAATATTGCGTTTTAATCATCCCAATAATTTTTTTTTTTTTACAACAACCTTAGTCTTTGTAAAAAGTTACAGGGAAAAACGATTCATGTGTAAGAATCTTGTGTCTAAAAATAGTGTAGGGGTTGAGGGTTGACTGACCTGCAAGAGTTACACTCTAAGAAAACTTTTTAAAAAAAAACTTCCTTTGACAAGACTGAGCATTTTTTTGTTCAATAGAATTTTTTGTAATTATTTGTGCAGTGGAAATTTTTTTCATTTAATACTAGTGTTGTTTTAAGAAATAATTAATTGGAAAAATAACCATAGATTAATTTTGATGAAAAAAATCAAAGCAGCGAAAAATATATTCTAAACTGTATATTTTGTAAAACGTGTCTACCCTCGCTTTCGTACAAACAATGATTGGTTCAATATTGGACTAAAAATAAACCAATTTGTGTTCTGACTAGTGCGATAGCTTAGTGTAGCAAACGATTGTAGTATACTTCCCTACTTTTAAAATTAAATTCCGTACTTCAAAACAAAAAAAAAAAAGAATGCTTTGTTGTCCATCAAAATTGACTAACCAACAATCAAAACTTGTCGGGTATTACCAGTTAAATTTTAACTTTGAAATTTGACGTAGCAGAAGATCATAAGCACAATATTTTCCAATTTAAGCTGAAAAAGACTGTTTATAAATGATTCCGAACAAAAGTTTTGATTTGGTAGATTTAATATCAAATTAAAGTTTAGAAATTGGTCTAAGGACAACCAGATGGTTGACATAAACAACCATTGAAAGATGTTCAAAAAATAATCAGTAATCAGATAATTAATAACCTTTCCAATCTTATGTTGTTTCATTACGCCATGAAAACATTAAGTTACATAAGAAAAAATTCTCATCTGCCAAACAAAAAGAAGATTTAATAAACAGTTTATTTACAACTTTTATTTGATAAATTGACCATCACAAAATTTGTAATTCCTACTCAATAATCTTTAGTTTTTATTATTTTTTCTTCATTTCTAACAATTGCGAAGAGAATTATTTATGGTTACTTTGAAATCATTTTAGAAATTTTTGTTAACCACTGATTAATTTTTAAGAAATTATTTATTATGTCATGAAAAAAATCTTGCCTGTACTGAATTTGATGAAATTCTTTTCTTGTCTTCTTGGTCATCGATTGATTTTTTGTCGTAGTTAATATTTTTATCTGTTCTCAAGATATCGTGACGAGAAAAATTTTGACATAGGGGAAGGGAGAACAAAGTGGAACGCGGGGGCAAAATGAAATGCTGGAGAAAATGTCCTAATTTATTAAAATAAGTTCAAAAACGCTTATTGCACTTTTTGTTAATCAATTTCCCAATTTATTAATGTATTCCAAATTATTAAAATATGTTAATATATTAGTTAATTTGTTGAATTATGTCTTTTCTTGGTATTCTATTTTACCCCACCTTCCCCTACAGACATTCTTCGTAAATCGGTATACGTCAAGATCTATCAAAATTTTGAAAATCGATGAAAAAAACTACAAAAAAAGTGACGGTAAAGTGAAGTAGAGAATAATTCAATAATTTATTTAAATAAATTTAGAAACGTTTGAAGCATTTGTTAATTATTAATGTATTAAGATGTAATTTCATCGAAATTCATTAATACTTTTTCATTTATAAATGTTTCATTTTCCCTTTGTGTTTCACTTTACCTATTTACCCACTGTAAATTTTGGTATTTTATTTTAAAACATTAAAAGTGTTTTGATATGACGTCACCTATTTGATTAACATTGTCTCGATTTTAAAACACATAAAAACGTTGTAAAATCAAAACAATGTTAATCAAATGTCACTTATTTATATTTTTTATACAATTAATAATTAGATAGGTACTTTCTGAATCACGAAAATAACCATTTATCAGTATTGATTGAAAATAAAAAAAAAATGAAATGAATAAGGACAATATAGAAATGGTAAATGAATAAATTACCATTACTAATAATAATTCTATAGAAATTGTTATGAGATAATTATTAATTGTTTTAATATTTAAAAAAAAAGATTGAGAACATAATTAATAATTTGTATTAAATTATTTTAATTGATGAAAATCGTGAAGATGTAATAGTTTAGAAAGAAGATACTGAATTCATAGTAACACAGTATAACAGCACAGAATAAATATGCAGTGTGCATATCAACATGTAGCAAAATCACTTAATAATGTAACTCTACACTCAAAC